TAAAAATAATATTATGACCAAAATTATAATTTCAATTAGAGGTGGATGCATGTTTCTGAATGCTCTATACATCCAGATTTATGAATGTTTTCATAATTAAAATAGAAGCTTCTTCAACTTCCTGACCTTTTATTTACTATGGGTAGCCTCCAATCTGCATCTTCCTGAATAGCAACTAGCCATGTAATAATCACAAGTTGTGTAAAAACAATGACCTGAGTGATGTCAGAAGGATGGCAGAATAGAAGGTAACCTGCTTATGTCCTCCCATAACTGCAAGATCAAATCAATAAACTTTTAGCCAGAGTAAGAAAAAAAAAAAAAAAAAGACTTTACAGTTGACGCCACAGAAACACAAAGGATCGTTCCATTTGGTATATTGTTTTCCATTTTTTATTTGTCTAAGAAATTTAATTTATAATAACTGCTAGAAATTACATAAATTTACCTAAGGAAGTGAAAATTTCTGCAATGAAAACTGTAAACACTGTTAAAAGAAATTAAAGAGGACACAAATAAATGAAAGGGTGTCCAAGTTAGTGGATTCAAAGTTATATATGGCTATGCTTCTCAAAGTGAGGCGATGAATTGACCCATATCTCTCACCACTTACAAAAATTAATTCAAATGGATTAAGGACTTAAATGCAAAACCTGAAACTACAAAACTACTAGAAGAAAATAGAGGGTATATACTTCATGGCATTGTTATGGGCAAGGTTTTTTTTTTTTTTTTTTTTTTTGAGGGCGTACAAGACTTCTTCACAAGCATAAGTGTAACATCAAACCAAAAAGCTTTTTCACAGCAAAGAAAAGAATTACCAGAATGAGGAGACAACCTGCAGAGTGAGAAAAATATTTCTGACTCATGCATATAAAATATATGAGACAACTGAATATATTCAAACGACTGAATAGCAAAATACCAAATGATTTGGTTAAAAATTGACAAATGAACGGAGTAGACTCAGTTCTGAGTAGGCTCAAAAGAAGCCATGGAAATGTCCCATAGCTATATGAAAAAAAGTTCAACATCTCAAGTAATAACAAATCAAAACCACAAAAACATACCATCTCACCCCAGTTAGAAAGGTGATTAAAGACAGAAAAAAAAAAGAAAGAAAATAACAAATACTCACAAATTGTTGGTGGAAATGAAAATGTTAAGTGTAAGTATGGAAAATGTGGTATAAGACAGTGAGGAAACCAATATAAAAGTTCACCCCCCAAATTAAAACTAGATCTTCCCTATGATCCAGCAATCCACTACAGTGTATATGTTCAAGTAAAACAAAATCAATATGTCAAAGAGATAGCTGGATACCCATGTTTACTGCAGCATTATTCACAATAGCCAAGATAGGAAATCAACCAAGCATCCATCAATAGATGAATGGATAAGAAAACGTGTTGTATTTCCACAGTGGAATGCCATCCATCCATAAAACAGAATGAAATTATATCATTTGCAGCAACATGGTTGAGCCTGGAAAACATCAGGGTAAATGAAACAGTCACATAAAGACAAATGCTACTTGATCTTACTCATATGTGGAATCTAAAAAAGTTGTTTTTATAGAACTAGAGAGTAAAATAATGGTTACCAGAGGCTGGGAAGGGGAGGGAAGTAGGGCAAAATGGGGGGAGCTGGTTAGAGGGCACAAAGTTATAGTGAAGTAGAAGGAATGAGATCTAGTATTCCACTGCACAGTAGGGTGGCTGTAATTAACAATAACGGGTTGTATATTTCAAAATAGCTAAAAGAGACGACTTTTAAATATTCTCATCACAAAGAAATTTGTTTGAGGGGATGGATATGTTCATTACTCTAATTTGATTATTATGCATTGTATATATGTATTGAAACATCATATTGTACTCCATAAATATATATGATCCTCATGTATCAATTAAAAATAAATTTTTAAAAACAAACATTGGGTATAATTGACTTACAGTTAACTTCACATATTTAAAAAATAAAAAAATACCCTAATGGCATGTACCAAGATGCCTTTCTTTCATAACTTTTATGCAAAACCAAACAGGGTGTTTTAAGAAAAGTAGGTAAAAATAATTTATTTATAACATTTATTTTTTATTATAAATGTTTATTTATAATGTATAAATTTAAATGTTCTTTAAATATGTTTAAATGTTTTCTACCTCACCTGTGGAAAATACTTATATAGTTGAATACATGGAATTACATACATTTCTTGAGTTTCTTTCACCCCGATCTTAAATCTTGTGAATAAGATAGATTAAAACTGCTTGAATTGGTATAATTTCTCTATATGTCTAAGCATTAATAAACTATCATAACAAAAATGCTTCTCTGACATAAATTCCATTTTTAAAAAAGCAACTTTGCCAAATGTAAAAACAAATGTATTTACTTAAAAACCTCTTTTAAAAGCAGATGTTCCTGTTTTGGAGCTTGTGATAAAATCATCAACACTTCTCATTTCTCCTTATTCCTTATAAATACATGATGCCCATTCACGGATGAATTATAGTGCAAGAAAATGCCAACATTATTCTCCCTCAGAGAGAAAGAGGATATTAATTCTTTATGTAATAAAATGGTAATAATACTAGTGATATCGAAAACATAATACCAATAAATTTTAGCACCCAGATTGTCATAATAACAAATAAGGCATTATTTTAAATGTACTGGAAACAGGGGTATCTCAAAAATTATTCAAATGCCATAATTAGACCTAATAATGTATGTCCTATGTGCAAAAATTCTTGGACCAATAAATTGCTAATACTTATTCTCTAGGTTACAGAATAATGAATGGATAAACAAGTGATAGAGGGTTGCAGAAACTTGTCACCTTCTTACAACACAGTATGTCCAAAGGATCTACTTGAAGATTCCTAATAACTAAGAGAAGAAATTAATGACCCCTATTCATTTCCCATTAATGGTTAATTTTTAAATTGTTACATCTGTAATACATTTGACAATCTGGAGTCCATGGTTGTCTATCTCAGAGATAACACCAACAATTTTGTCTAAAATATTTGAATGTGTGTCACTCTGAATTGACATAAACAAAAATGAGATGGCTTTTTTCTTTTCTGTTTTAGGTAAAATCTAAAAATAATGGTTCCAGATCAGGAGAGAAACAGAAAGATGGTTTTAGGAGTTGTGGTCAAAAGAGAACACTTTATACAGAATCTGGTCTCTGTTCATCCACTACTAACTGTATATCCAAAGAAAGAAGAAAGACTAGAAAGGGGTGTGTGTGTGTGTGTGTGCATGTGTGCATGTGTGCCTAGCCTAAGACGGCCAGATATTTTTAGTATATTATCTGATGTACCCCTTACCATAGGCTTATTGGAACTACTTATATCACACTTAACAACTGAGCTTCCATAACTATACGAACTTAAAGAATTCGTTTTCCCAACATATGCAGCTAGAATTGGCTAGATGATGTAAAGTTCCCATGTAGTTCTAAAAGCCCGTGATCTTGATAATAGAAAAATTCTCTGTATAAGTAAAAATGATGAATAGAAAAGTTCTAAAATATAGCTGGTCATATGACCTATCAGTCTTTGTAAAGGCAGGCTTCCAGAATATTTGGCTGGAAAATGCAGTCCTAAAAACATGAAACTCAGTTTCTTAGGAGATGGATGAAAAATAAAATATTCAGACAGGGAAGGTTTGGAAAAAGGCCCTCAGAGACTTTGGTGAAAATCTGGACAGCCATCCAAACTAATCAAGTTTTATCCAAACCAAATATCCAGGCCTTTTGAAGTTTGCCAGTTACTAATCAAAACCCCACTAAGCACTTAGTATCTCAGACAGTTTTAAATAACATCAAACCAACTATCATGTAATATAATGAGCAAGCCAAATCTGGATTTTGTCTTAAAGCTACACAGATACAAAAATTTGTCTGAGCTAGCACTGCCCAAAATAAAAAGAAGCTGACGTAATTTTAGACAAGTTATTTCACTCTCAAAATCATCTCATTGATCTTTGAAAGGGGCTAAGAAAATCACCTTCTCATAAAACTAAATTATTAGCAATAACTATTTGAAAATAAGTAAAGACTTTGCAAATATTGTTTAATACACTGTAAACACATTATAACAACTTATGGTTTACTAATGATAAAATGAAAGCCCTAATTTTCCAAGATTGTTATGATTGTTGTATTTTATAGGACTAGGCAGACAAATTTTAAACATAAATTAATGCTTTTACTTTGATATTAATGTACTTCATTCTTTCCTAGAAGTATAGCAATATTTTATCATAGTAGTATCTATAATACCAATCATCTTTCTGTAATAACAATATCAATCAGAATGTACCCAATTTTTTTAAAAAATGTTTTTCAAAAATCTCAACTCAATGATGAAAGCATTTCAATATAATCTTCACATACTTTTTTGATTTAATTTGATGTGAATGAAATTAATATATGACCACAAAATGCAACTATTGTCATGTTTTCCACTGTTAATCAACTCACTTCTTTCCTGAAACAAAATTAATGAAATGTCAAAATGGAGAGACACTCAGTTTTTACCAAAGAGAAAAAAATTTAGTCTTACTGAGGCACACATACTCTTTTTTTTCCTCTGTGCAAGTTGAATAGGTACATTGTATTAAAATGAGAAAGAAAGGAAAACAGAATCTATGAGGGAGGGAGAGACAGAGGGAGAGAAAGAAGGAGAGAGAGAGCACTCGTGTGTGTGAATCAATCTAGAGAAGCACAGGAAAGAGCATTGGGAAAGCCTGAGGAGATGACGGTCACACTGCTGGTCACAGTGTGATGGTCACACTTCCTTTCCATCAAGAGCCCCCACCACAGCAGAGATGTCAAAGCCCAGAGGTCACTTCTAAGAAGCCTCCAGTCACTTGCTAGTATCCTTTTCTATTTGAACACACAGTGCTCATCAAATGTTTTCTTGATTATTTAATTATTATTTGTTGATTAATTTCCATCTACCCCAATTAGAATATAAGGTTCAGTGCTCACTTCAGCAGCACATATACTAAAATTGGAACAGAGTAGATTAGCATGGCCCCTGGGCAAGGATGACATGCAAATTCATGAAGCGTTCCATATTTTAAAAATAGAAAAAAGAATGTAAGATTCATAACAGCAATTTTTCTAGTTCAGTATGTCCACGATGGTTGGCAAATTACAGCCTTTATCTTGGTAGTGAGATAATGACCAGCAAAATTCAGAAACATTAACAACTCTATCTGGAGGAAATAAAGTGAGTGAATTAATATTGGAAGTAAGTTAAAATAAGGAAACAAAAATGGCAAAAATTAAATAAGACAAGAAATATAAGTATTTCAGATGTTTAAGTAAATATATATTTCTTTTCAAAAGACAGATAATCAAACTAGTTTTGTAAATCAGTATTTTTTTGTTGTTAAAAACTATACCTTAAACAGTGACAGAGAAAAGATATTTATTGCAGCTCAACTCACAATCACCAAGTGCCTATTAGCACATGAATAGATTAACAAACTGTGGTATATGTATACCATGGAACACTATTCAGCCATAAAAATGGAGTCATTAAATCTTTTTTATTTACCTGGATGGAGTTGAAGAACATTATTCTTAGCAAAGTATCACAAGACTGGAAAATCCAGTATCCAATGTACTCAATACTAATATGAAATCAAATAGATAAACAGCTACACCCCTACATGAGAGAAAAACACAATTAAATTCAAAGGAGGGGAAAGGAGAGGAAATGGTAAGGTCTCACCAAAGGTGCACGATGTAAGGGTACATAGTATACACCCTGGGTGAAGGGCTCAACTATAACTTGAACTTTTTACCTAAAAAATGTAAAAAATGTGACTAATTATCTGTACCCTCATATTAATCTGAAGAAAATAATAGAATGAACAATAAAAATACACAAATTAATAAACATCATGTAAAATGTAAAAGAAAAGAAAGATCAAAAGAAAGGTGTGAATAAATACAAACAAAATAAAAATTGGTCAATATTAGTTGTTACTAAACAATAATATTACATAAAGTGAAATTTAAGGCTAATGTTTAGGAATAGACATTAAGAACAGAATTATTCAATTAACCAATTAACTGATCAAATATGTACAGACAGTCCCTGGCTTAATAACGTCTTGACTTCTACATTCAATAGAAACTGTACATGGAATTTTGAATTTTGACCTTTTCCTGGACTAGCAATATGAAATGCCATACGTCCTTGAGATGCTGGGCAGCTGTAGTAAGCCACAGTTCCAGGTCAGCCCTCAATCATCAGGGTTACCAAACAATACTCAGCAGTATACTACGTTGTCAAATGATTTTGCCCAACTGTGGATTAAGATAAGTGTTTTGAAAACATTTATGATAAGCTAGTCTAGTAATGCCCTTGAGTAGGTTAGGTATAGTAAATGCACTTTTGATATGTTATTTTCTGCTTACCATGGGCTTATTGAGCTGTAACCCCCTCATAAATTGAAAAGTATCTGCTTAATATGTTCAGATATAGGTGCGGCACACGTGCTCAGTGGTTAGGGCTCAGGCCACATACATGTAACTGACAGGTTCAAACACAGCCCAGGCCTGGTAAACAACAATGACAACTACAACCAAAAAAATAGCTGGGCTTTATGGTGGGAACCTGTAGTCCCATCTACTTGGAAGGTTTAGACAAGAGAATTGCTTAAGCCCAAGAGTTTGAGGTTGGTGTGAGCTATGATACACAGCACTCTACTGAGGGTGACATGGTGAGATTCTGTCTCAAAAAAAAGAAAAATATATATATGTATATGTATATGTATTTAAAGGTATGAATTAAGAGCAGAGAATATACATTCTGTGTTCATAAAACTTAAAAACATATGGAATCTTTACAATATAACATTCACAATTTAGAAATTCTAAAATTTTTTATGGAGATTATTTTTTAATCATAATCTAGTATAAGTTTATGTTAAAGGTAAATAACTCATAAATTCAAAAATTTCTATGGTTTATAAGAAAACAAAAATTACAAATTATTCAGAAAGTAATTTTAAAAATCACACTAAACCATAAAAAAATTGCTAAAATAGGTTTAAATGACCATTTATAGCTGAAATGAATTTATTATTGAATAAAAATAACTTGGTAAGTCTGTAATGAAAAAGAAAAATTGCTTAATAAACCAAAACACAGACTATAATGGCATTAATAAAAGAAAAAAAAACCAAAATAAGTGAAAGAGTCAAGAGAGAGTTAGAATAAACAAAGCAAAATGACCTAGGAAAAAGTAGAAAATCTGACCAAATTAACAATCACAGAAGAAATTAGAAATATTAAGGCCTATTATAAAATTTTCTAGCAGTTTGGATAGTTTTATGGCTATATTTCATGCCAACTTTAAAGAAAACGACTTCATAATTATCACTGTACTCAACTACAGAAGAAGATAAAGTAGTCTACACGCTTAAGCAGGCAAAGTTTTATTCCAAAGTCAACTAAAGGTAGACAAAAAGTGAAGAATGGAGAAGAGAGGGAAAGAGGACAGGAGGCAGAAGGACCAAGGAAGAAAAGTGGGGGAGGGTCTTGGCATAAATATAGACATTGTTTTTTAACAACAAACAAACTGTCAAACCCTTACCAAAGGATCTTTATCATTTCATATCAGCACCAACAATGCAGGAGGGTTTCAGTTTCTTTACAGCACTACCAATACATTTTATTCTCCATCTTTTTTTTTTTTTTTTTAGACAGAGTCTCACTATGTTGCCCTCAGTAGAGCGCTGTTGCATCACAGCTCACAGCAACCTCAAATTCTCGAGCTTAAGCGATTCTCTTGCCTCCCAAGTAGCTGGGATTACATTGCCTGCCCCAGCGCCTAGATATTTTTTGTTGCAGTTGTAATTGTTGGTTAGCTGGCCCGGACCAGGTTCAAACCAGCCAGCCTCAGTGTATGTGGCTGGAGCAGTAACCACTGTGCTATGGGTGCCGAGCCTATTCTCCATCTTTTTTATTACAACCATCTTAGTGAATGTGGAGTGCTTTTGATTGCATTTAACTAACGACATTGAGCACCTTTTCGTGTGCTTATTAGATATTTGTATATTTTATTTGGAGAAAAGCCCTTCTTTCATTTGTAAATTGAGTTATATTTCTTTGTATTCTTGAATTGTAAGTGTTCTTTATATATCCTGGATACTAGTTCCAAATGTTGAAGTTCAGTTTACCTATTCTGTTGTTGTTTATTGCTTGTGTTTTGGGCATTATACTTGTGACTTTGCCTTTGTTTTCTTCTGAGAGTTTAGTATTTTAGCTTTTATATTTAGGTACACAAAGCACTTTGAGTACATTTTTGTACCTGATGGAACACTGGAGGACACATTCATTCTTTTGTTCATGGACATATCCAGTTGTCCCTGAACAATTTGTTGAAAAGATTCTTTTTGTGTGTTTCTTAATACCTTTGCCAAAAGCATTTCACTATTTGTCAGTGTTTATTTCTGGACTCTCAATTCTATGCCATTAATCAATATGTCCAGTCTTATGACAGACATACAAAACACCACATTGTTTTGATTAGTACAGCTTTGTAGTAAGTCTTGAAATTTGAAAGTGTGGATCCCTAACTCTGCCTTTCTTTATCCAATTGGTTTGGCTGCATTGGGTCCCTTGCATTTCACATGAGTTTTAGATCAGCTTGTCAGTTTTTACAAAAAAAAAAGAGAGGGAGAGAGAGAGATTTATTGGAAAACTTTATTGAATCAATGAATCAATTTGAGCATAATTCCATTTTAATATTATGAAAACATGGAATGTCTTTTTATCTATTTAAATCTTTAACTTTCAACAATAATTTGTAGTTTTCAGTTTATAAATCTTAAGTTTCTTTGATTAAATTTATTCCCAGGTATATTTTTCGTCGTCTTCTTTTTTTTTTTTTCAAGACAGAGTCTCACTGTGTCACCCTCGATAGAGTGTTGTGGCGTCACAACTCACAGCCACCTCAAACTCTTGGACTCAAGTGATTCTCTTGTTTCCACCTCCTGAGTACCTGGGGCTACAGGTGCCTGCCACAATGCCCAGCTATTTTTAGAGATGAGGTCTTGCTCTTGCTCAGTCTGGTCTCAAACTCATGAGCTCAGGCAATCCACCCACCTTAGCCTCTCAGAGTGCCAGGCATGAGCCACCGTGCCAGCCCTATATTTTTCTTCTTGATACCATTGTAAATGAAATTGCTTTTTAAAATATCATTTTTGGACTCTTCATTGATAAAAATACAATTGATACTTATGTATTGATTGTCTATCTGCAACTTGTATGCATTTATTACCTCTAATAATTTTTGTGTGCGTTTACTCCTTAGGATTTTCTGCACACAGTACACTTGTTATTTGCAAATAGAGGTAATATAAGTTTAGTTTATTCACTTACAAAAAAAGCCCCACAACTGACACAATAATTATAAAAGAATAAAAACTACTTTTCCACTAAGATCAATAAAATTTGTGCGTTTTTCATAGATGCACTTTATTAGATTGAGAAAGTTATTTTCTACTTCTAATTTTTTCAGTGTTTGTAATCATAAAAGTTTGTTCTGTTAAATGCTTTCTCTGTAAATATTGAGATGATGATGTTTTTGTCCTGTACTATATTAACATGATATATTGTATCAATTAATTTTGTGTTGTTGAACCAACCTTGTACTTCTGAGCTAACTCATCTTTGTCATTATGCATAATGCATTTTTTTTATGTTGCTGGATTTGGGCTGCTATTATTTTCTAGAGTATTTTTACATATATATAAGACATATATGGAGTCTCTTGTCTTTTAAGGTCTACTTTTGTTGTAAGGATACTAGCCACATAACTTGAGTTGGGAAATATTGCCTACTCTTACATTTTGGTGAAATGTTTGTGAAAACTGATGTTACCTTTTCTTTAAATGTTTGGAGGAAGTAACCAATGAAGCCCTCTGGGCCTGTGCTTTTCCTATGAGGTTTTTGTTCTATCTCTTTCTTTCTTTCTTTTTTTACTAGTTAAATATCTTTACTTACTATAGGTCTATTAAGATTTTCTATTTCTTCTTGCCTTAGTTTCAGTAGTTTGCCTTT